AAGAGGCATTCCAGGTTTTCCATTGTCGAAAGGTGCGGGAAAGGCGTGATGATTCCATACCCCGTTCCCTGCGCTCGCGTGATAGCTGACACAACACGTCTCCACTGGATGGACATGCAGTGTGCAAGTACTTAGCATAGTCTGTTCTATGTCGAGTCGAAAACAGAACCCGTGTGAGACGGTGATGGTGTGAGCCCGCATTCCTCTTTGCAGCACCGTGCATATTTGTATGAATCCCACACTCCTCAACTCCATTTATCCGTGTCCTGATGATGGGCCAGACTCGATAATTCGGTGTAACATAAATTATTGATTTGAATCGCAGTAAAGGGACAGTTATTGCATGGTGTTGTATTGTTCTATTGAGGAGTGAAGTTTCACACAATCATGTGTAAGCAGTAAGTGGCTGAGTTGGAGTTTGCGGACAATATGAAAAGTTCACCATGCATATTCTCACTTTTATAATATTTTGGCGAGGACGCTAGTGCTCTGTCAGGTTAGAAGTGTGAGGACACTTGCGGCCCGACAGCCTTTCCCGCAGCACTGGAATATGTGCGAAGCTTTAAAACAAATCAACAAGCACTTCACCATCGATCATGGTGCATAATTATGATGTAATGCAAACCAGGAATCAAAGACTTCAACACCACCCATTAGCCATGATTAGGTCCATCACCCATAATAATTACATTTGTACGTCATCATTTTCTAGAGCTGGGATTGTCCCTGATCGGCCAGGCGTATTGCCACGGGCTTGGCCAACACTTTCGTCAGCGCCAAACGTTCACACCCCAGTCGATTTGACCTGGCTAAAAAACAGTTATCGTTGTTGCTGCGTCATCATGCATGCTGGTATCTTCCATCATGCTACTATCTTCCATCATGCTGGTATCTTCCAGTGGGCTGTGTGCTCCTCTTCGATATGATCATGATCTGGTGTCGATCTCTATCTGCTAACCGCGTATCGAGTAGAGCCCTGCTTCCGGCTTGGAGAGGAAGGGGAGAATCATTTCCTGTCCGCAACTTCACTATTCCGGGCGGGCAATTTTCTAGAAGGCTCGACGTCCATTGCGTCACAAGGCGACTCGTCAGCATGGCACAACATAGGCCACTACTGTACATACATTGTACTGAAGTGCATGTTGTGTACGTGTGCAGTTTAACTCTGAGAATAAGACGCGCAATCGCTGGACACAAGAAGCTAGGTTGTACTTTATCCGAACATTGCCATTGGTCTGGAATCTACCCTGGGTTCACCCAGACTATGTACATGTCGAGCAAAATAGTTTCCTCGGACCTCTCCAACTCCACTGCAACGTTTTCCTATTCCCCGAACAGGCTCTCAACAGCACAAAGGAAAATGATCACCAATATTTCGCCCTTTGGAGCAGAATCTGCCAAATTTCAAGCATTGTTCGCATGGTTCTGTATGTATGTTAGGATAATCTAAGAGTTCAGAAGAACCGTTGAATATGATGGTAGCGTCATATCGTATTGCATTTTCTTTAGAAGTTTACACTCCTCTGGCACACTTTTCATCATTAATTTTTATTATCCCAGTTCTGAACGCTTACATGTACACACATGACAATTATGTACCGGTATGTACCAGAGGCAGAGCTCTGCTCTAGACTACATGTACTTCATTATCCCTTTCTTTGCTCGCCTATTGCTCATCACTTCTTATACAGCTTTGGGATTGTGGAAAGTTTGGAGACCCCCTCGATAGGTTTTCAAAGCCTTTGGGGAAATCCCTAAACAATAAAAAGTAAAAATAATAATGAAAAAATGAATGGGTGATGTTCGCTTTGTGGGTTGTGGGCATAGTCATTGCGTGAACGCTGTGAAAAGGAAAACATCTGCTCCATAGTTCTTCACGCTGTGACGAGTGAAGTAGGAAATGAGCACCTAGGCATACATGCACATGTTATTCTGTACTGAGTTTACAGCTGACAAGTATACAGTGGAGTCATGCTGAGCGTGAGCAATGAGCAGGCGTTTAAAATTAAACCTCGTCACGTCCAATGACACTGCGTGCATGCCTACCAGACATAACGAACTTCAAGTATCTCAGGAACAGAAGACGACTTCTTGGTCGGAAATTCTTTCATCTGCTCTACTTGTACGTGTACGCCTGGTGAGTAATTACACATGGTTACACATGGTTACACATGGTTACACATGGTTACACATGGTTACACATGGTTACACATGGTTACACATGGTTACACATGGTTACACATGGTTACACATGGTTACACATGGTTACACATGGTTACACATGGTTACACATGGTTACACATGGTTGCACATGGTTACACATGGTTACACATGGTTACACATGGTTACACATGGTTACACATGGTTACACATGGTTACACATGGTTACACATGGTTACACATGGTTACACATGGTTACACATGGTTACACATGGTTACACATGGTTACACATGGTTGCACATGGTTACACATGGTTACACATGGTTACACATGGTTACACATGGTTACACATGGTTACACATGGTTACACATGGTTACACATGGTTACACATGGTTACACATGGTTACACATGGTTACACGATTCCACAGGAATTCGCTGACCACATCCTCCTCGTGGCAACATCCGTCGGTGTGAAAACCCGCGGGGAACCTCATCACCTTTGCTACGGGTCATCTGGGGAAAACTGTAGTATGCTGCATACGAACGCATGCTGAGCATCATAATTAATTTTAAATTATTATCAAGAGTAAAATAAGCGCCCACTATCACGTCACTATCACGTCACTATCACGTCACTATCACGTCACTATCACGTCACTATCACGGGAGCTTATCTTCTTGATCATATACATTTTCTGTTTCGTGTAGTTCCAGGCAGTTGACCCTGGATAAGGAGACCAGCTGGTAACAGAGCACGTTTTGAAGGTCCCTTGTCTTGAGTGGTCGTCTTAGGTTTCACAGTTCAACGTTCACTGTGTGTGCAGGTACATGCAATAGTAACAGTCACGTGATAAGCTAGCAGTAGCACAAGATGATGACACAACGTTTTGTAGGTCCCTTGAGTGGTCGTCTTACTCTTAGCCATGTTTCACTATAATTATGTACATGCAATAGTAACAGTGATAAGCTAGCACAAGACGATGTACTGGTGTCTTTATCTGTTTTACCCAGCTGTCGCATTCCTAGCTCATTAGCAAGCACTTGAAAACCAAATTTGACACGATAATGTACTACGCAAGAAACACAGAAAACGGAGATAGAACCGGTCAAGTCGTCACTCAAGGGTCAGAGCTCGAAGATCACAATCCCCACTACAAACTGTATTATCCCCAATACATGTACATGTACATGTACTGTAAAGTTGAACGGTCTCTGCTGGGATGACGACTACACCATAGCTCAGTGGACAAGAGCATTGCTGGCTACAAGCAAGGGTCCCTGGTTCGAGTCCTGGTGGTGACGGTGACTTCTTTCTTCAGCCTTTTCCCGTTTGTGTCTTTCCCTTAAACCAGTGAAAATGCACTGTACTTGTATTATTTTCAAAGCTGGTCAGACCTGTACAGTCAACTTGGCTAATAACGACTGCGGATATAACGACTGCGGATATAACGACTGCGGATATAACGACTGCGGATATAACGACTGCGGATATAACGACTGCGGATATAACGACTGCGGATATAACGACTGCGGATATAACGACTGCGGATATAACGACTGCGGATATAACGACTGCGGATATAACGACTGCGGATATAACGACTGCGGATATAACGACTGCGGATATAACGACTGCGGATATAACGACTGCGGATATAACGACTGCGGATATAACGACTGCGGATATAACGACTGCGGATATAACGACTGCGGATATAACGACTGCGGATATAACGACTGCGGATATAACGACTGCGGATATAACGACAATTCGCGAATAACGACAGAACTTCCATGCCCAGAGCAAAGTCCCATCCAACTGTGTGTCATATAATGAGACTTCGGGTATAACGACACTACTTTGTGAATAACGACACTTTTCTGATGCCCCGCCGAGTGTCGTTATAAGCGAAGTTGACTGTATTACTAAAGGAGACTTTACTAGTATTGGAGACTGTTCTCTTATTGTTTCTGGCAAGATTGATCGCCTGCCATGTGTGTCATACCACTCATCGTAATGATACTTTTCTGCTGTAGATGCCTGTAATAACACTCCAGCTAGGGTACCAAGCAAGCGGTCTAGAAAGGCACAAAGATGATCAACGGGCAAGAAAAACGAAATTACAGTCCATTCATAAAAATATGGGCTCTGGCTCTGGCGAGCTCCCGTAATTGGCGATTTTTCGTGATTTCATCGTACACAGTGCAGTGCTGCGAAATTTGAAATTTGAAAAAGGGTCCAAAAAGGGTACCTGAACTGGGGTTCGAACCGCACAATGCACTGTTGCAGACGGGGTCAAATGGCCTGGATTTTTATGGTTTTTCCCAATTCAATGCTTTGGGGGCAAAACCTGGCCGAAATCCTATTCTTGTTATGGCTTGCTTTTTTGGAGAAAAAAACTTCAGAAACATAATTGGAAGAGGATTCCATAGAGGATTGCAGAAAAAAATTCTAAAAAAACTCAACGTTTGACCCATTTATGGCCAAAAGCTAGAAGTTCATTTTTTTCTGAATGGACTGTAGGTGGATCCACGTACATGTACATATACTGTAAATCGTGAAAATTTAATTATTGCGATGGTCTAATTTCTGCGAAATTCGCGACCGCGTGGAAATCGCGAAATTTAGACAGCGCGAAAAGGAGATCCATGAAAGGTTTAGCAAGAACGCCACAGGTTTAGCAAGAATGCCATTCTGCAATCGCAAAATTAAAACCTCGCAAACCTGTCCGGATTCTGAAAACGCGAACTAAAAACGCCGCGAAAATTTCACGCCTTACAGTACCCCGATAATGCCCATCACATCATTCCGGCATGTACTACTATTAGAGACGGGTTCATTTATAGTTTCAATCCACACGCAACATGTACCACTATGGGAGACGTACTAGTATTGGAGACGTGTACGTTTATTGGGGAAGTACGGTACATGCACCACGTCTCTAAGAACTTTAAAATAGGATAAACAGGTTTATCGCCGGTGGTGTCAACGAGTTCCATGAGTATGATCTACAGCCGCCAAACAGCTCGGAATCTTTGAAATTCATCTAGGTTTTGTGCCTGAATTCCGACAAAATCGGGTTTTCAAAAGCTGGGGAGACTACCGTAAAGTCGTGTATAAAAGCAGGTGCTTACGGCCGTATAAGCCGGGATTCAAACCATGCCGCTTCTATTCATAGTTACGCTTCTACAGCTAGTCAAAACATGCTTCTACGTAGCGATCGCTTTGCACCTTGCATGTCATGATGCATTCCAGCACTGATGGTGCTTCTGTGTCACTGCACGCTTCGAAAATTCAGCTTCTCTTCGAGTCACACTTCTATATGGGCAATGCTTTATACGCGTACCCCGTAAGGAGACCATAGGTCTGTGGGGACTGTCCTAGAGAAATATGAATAAATACTATACTATACTAAAAGGGCATCACAGTATGTCATCTGAATGGACGGTGCTGACAAGAAACGGAATGGCCGTGAACAGGCAATCTTAACCCAGTACACTAGTCTCTGCATGCTCACATTGCGCTCAGCAGAGCGGAGACGGTTCAAACTGTTCAAACGGATCTCCTTACGAGAAATTGCACGATCTACGCTTCCAGCGACGGTGGTCCCTCCATTTCCGGTCTTTCAGACGTGTCGTCTTTCAGGCGTCCGCTTGATAACCAGACAGAAATGCATGGCTTTTCCAAGTCGCGTCGCAACAGAACGTGATAGCAAAACGGCAGAACTGGCAACGAATTGAGTGTCGATCCAGTCTCACTCACTCCGCCAAGAATTACACGGCCAACGTCACAGCACCGAACTGGAATGGTGAAGCAACAGAATGTTATTTTTAGCTCTCCTCTTGGCCGCTGTGCTGTGAGTGGCTATTCTGTGTGTTGATATCGATAGAAGATGCATGGCGATAGGCCAGCTCACCATGCTATCACTTCATGTATAGCAAGTCTCCGCATTGCTTGCACTCCAGTCTGTAGCGTGGAGGACTTCAGCAGTATTCGTGAGGTGCTTGAGCAGTATTCATGCGGATTTGAACATTTGCTTGCTAAGCGATACTGGTTCAGGATGCCGTGGCACTGGACTTCACTTACTGACGGAGATCAGCAGTTCAGTGGAGGGGAGAGGTTCCGCCAATAACACAGCGGAGTATGCAGCACTGGATAGATGTGCAAGTTACTGACTGAAAGGAGTGCCATCCACTGCTTCGCATGCAAGCCCCTGCTCCATCACGTCATCTCCTGCTCCATTATGTCATCTCCTGCTCCATTATGTCATCTCCTGCTCCATTATGTCATATCCTGCTCCATTATGTCATCTCCATCTACCTGCAGTGTATACTTATACACTGTAGCTAGCCACTGTAGGTAGGAACCCCATCCTGCAACAGTTACTGCAAATAAGTAGCTCCGTCTTCGACTCTTGCAACTGCACTAGCAGTGACATAGCAAGTACTTTTCAGCAGTATATCCACCAGCTAGCCGCCGCAGCAAGCCACTGTAGGTAGGAAGCTCCACCTTGCAACTGTGTAAGCAGTGACATGGCAAGTACTGTTCAGCAGTATATCCACTGCAGCTAGCTAGCCACTGCGGGTAGCCACTGTAGGTAGCCATTGCAGGTAGGTAGCTCCATCCTGCTACAGGTACCTGAGTAAGTAGCTCCACCTTGCAACTGTGCATGAGAAGTACTGCACAGGGGTATCTGTGTAAGAATTGGTGATGAGCAGAAGTACTGCATAGCTGTTACTGAGCAAGACTGGGTGATCATAAGTACTACTTGGATGGCTGCACCTGTGAAAGCAGACAGCGGTGATGAGAAGGCCGGTACATCTGGACATCGGTCAGCCAAAGAAGACATAGTCCACTCCCTCAGTGAGGTGCAGCGAAGCCAGATTCTCCTCAAACGCACCGCCAGTCAAGTCCTAGAGTAAGAACACAACACAAAACAAAATAACATGTGCATGCGTGTGTGCATGAGTGTGTGCATGTGTGTGTGCGTATGTGCATGCGTGCACGTAGGAGAGAGAGAGAGAGAGAGAGAGAGAGAGAGAGAGAGAGAGAGAGAGAGAGAGAGAGAGAGAGAGAGAGAGAGAGAGAGAGAGAGAGAGAGAGAGAGAGAGATGGAGAAAGAGTGTGTGGGATAGGAACAGCGAGGTAGCGGTATGAGACAGAGCAAAATGCAAGGACGCTCATGTCTGAATTTCTACAGCTAGGCCATATCTAAGCCCAACTGTCACCAAACAGATCGGGACCAGACCAAGAAGTCGGGGATTAGTCCGTTAGCTATTCAAATGTTCGACAAAGTGAAACCAGGGAGTGTCTGGAGAGGAATGGACTGCCACCACCAGAATGGACACCATGAACCTTGGTTCTTTGTTCTTACAAAAAAAACTACGGTTCGCGTCAGACTCGGCTTTTTTTTTAGAGGCCGAGTTTTCCGCAAACGTAGGAACGCCGCCACCCTTCAAGGATCAAGGCGCAGCTGCAGCTCCTAAAGCGGTGGGAGATGAGGAGATCAGACGCACTCAAGTGGTCTCCTGTTCTTCCTGTTCCCAAAACTGTGTACTGTATTTCCCCGAATAAAAGTCAACACTTTTTCTCTAAAATTCATTGCCAACGTAAGGGGGTGCGACTAGAGCATGGCTTACTACTGTACAGGATATATTGAAATGAAAATTTCATTATTTTTTTAATGACTGACCTGCAAAATGGGGATGTGACTTAGGGGCTGTCCATAATTATCGATCTTTTACACGAAAATAAAAAAAGTTTCGTTTATGGGTGGCGGGTGGGTCAAGGACAGTTTCGTCTTGAAAAATATTGATATGTGAGACATCAATGCATTCTAGCTGTCAAGTCAATCTATTTTTTTGTTCAGGGGGGTGGGAGGGTCCTAACTAAACTTTTTTTATTTCGTGAAAATTATCGATAAATGCCGGATGGCGCCTTACAATTGAGTCTGACTTACCATATTCTCCGGGGAGTATAAGCCACACTTTATAAACACCAGTAATTCACCCCCTAAAAAGTCGCTGCGGCTTAAACTACGATGGTCAAATCAATGTTGATAAACAGGGTAGCCGGGCTGTATTTCGTGACCGAAAATCTGGGTGCGGCTCGTACGCCGGTGCGGCGTATACTCCGGAAAATACGGTACAATAGCGTGTGTGACTAACAATCGAGTGTTGCTTATAATCGGAGAAAAAATAAAAATAAAATAAAGACAGTACTGTCTACTACTCACTTGCTTCATGCAGATAACGAAAGGCGCGCGCAGCTGACGGAAGTGACGAATCGGAACACACGGATACGGACGCTCCTGCAAATAAAACAGCGAAAACAATAGTAAGACATATAAAGTACACGGACAGGCAGTTTAAAAACATGTAGGGTGTAGACAACAGCAGTGTGACGCTGGGCTATGTGACGATAGCCCAGTATGGTGGCGAGGGAGGTCACGGAGTGAATGCCCCAGCGGCCTCGCGCGTGACTACTCGCAGTGCAGTGTTGGAGCGCTAAGTCTGAGCTGTCACTCCTATATTCACCGACAGGCAGTTTCAGTCATAAAGAAATCCCAGATGGCTGTGTTTCAGACTCAGGCAAGTACAGCTTGGCTTCATGATATACACTCATCTCCCTGACCCACCGGCAGAAATGTGTTAAACCATACTTACATTTACTTCAACACATGTGTATGAGCCGAGGTCTAACTTCTTCTTGTCAACATCGCCAAAACAAACCACCTGGAGTGCAACATGCCAGAAATGCCAACAAACACACACACGCGCGCACACACACACACACACACACACACACACACACACACACACACACACACACACACGTACGCACGCACGCACACACACACACACACACACACGCGCGCGCGCGCATTCATGCACGCACACACACACACACACACACACACACACACACACACACACACACACACACACACACAAGCCAAAAGTCCCAGTTAGCCAATACTGAAAGGATCCCCTATGACATCACAAACGCACCCATACTCAGATTTAGTACGATGGCGGGCGGGAGCACGTTTGGAGCTCCGCCTAGCATCACTTTTTCCTTTCAACTTGATCCTCTTTGGGAGATCGATCATGTATTTTTCATTAAGGAACTAGCTAGTAATGGAGTCAAGCCCGAGGAACTCCAGCAAGTGGACCTGCATGGCAGACCAGGCTGGTGCACTGTCACCCTCAATCATGCCGCCGCCAGGGATCGCCTTGTGTCCACTTCTTTCAAAATTGCTGGTAAGGCAGTAGATATTGTCATTGGAGACACCGAGCTCATTAGCTTGCATGTGTTTGGCTGTCCGTATCACCTGCATGACGGTGCATTGTCTTCGGCCATAAGCCAGTATGCAACGATTCACGGGTCTCCTGCTAGGAAAAAAAATCCTGCACGAAGGGTTCTCAGTTGAAACCGGTACTCGCTTCTTGAAAGTGACATTGCGAAAGCCAGTTCCGTCTCTTGCTCGCGTGGGTCAGACGCCCCTACGCATCTGGTACAAAGGGCAACCCCAGACATGCTTCCGTTGCGCAGCACCAGGCCATGAAGCCAGTGAATGCCCGCGCCGAAAACCTCCAGCTAGTCAGTCAACAAGTACGGGATGCACCGAAGTGAACAGGTCAGCAGCAAGCCCTCAAAGTACGCATAGTCAAGAGGTTGCAGCTGCAAGATCAGTGCATGTGCAGCAGGATGAGCACTCCCGGGAAAACGCACCTATGAGCTCTGGTACGACAGCCAACCGCCAGCTTGCCAGTGCTAGTGGTGTGGGGTCAGAAAAACCGTACTCATACTCATCTGTTGTAGGAGGATCGGATGCGGAAAGGGATGCATCTGGGGAATCGGAACCTGCCTCGGCAGGAGGCACTGAAGGTGAGCCCGATTTCACTCTAGCTCTGTCCCCCGACAGCAGCTGGGTTGAGGAGTCAGAGAGAGGAGCCACCACCCCCTCCGCACAGCAGCCTAACCCCACCCCGTCTCTGGCCCACATGTCAAACACCTCTGACGGAGGTCTCATATCTGGGCAGCATGACGGAATGTGCCTACACCAAATGGGCAATACACATGATCCAGCAGCTGAACCCAATGATTCAAGCGGCTCAGAAGCGGATGCAGAAGATCAGCATCACTACACTGCAGCCGAAAGAGCCGACAAAGTACTCTCTGATGCACTTGAGTCGTCCAAGCGCCAGCACGAATCGATATCACCAGAACACGACGGCAGATTCACTGTTGTCAAGAATAGACGTCCCAGGAAACAGAAGCCAACTCATTTGCACTCCCCTGCCATCAGCCAGAAGCCTGGCTGGCGTGCGTGAGTACTAGTCATCTTTCTCTCTTGTGTTGTTATTAGCCTGACTATCTTTCTATTTTTCATCATGCCTTCTCCCCGCCCTTCTATTCCCCGACTTCGCCTTTACATGACCAATGCATTTGGACTGCTGTCCAAGCTTGGTGAGCTTCAGCACGCAGTGAAGATCTCGAAGCCTGATGTTATTATCGTGACAGAGACCAAGCTCACTGCAGACAAGGCCACCCAGGCGGAAGTCTCACTACCTGGATATGCCCCTCCCATTCGTTGAGACCGCACCGCTCATGGAGGAGGAGTTGCGGTCTGGATTAGGGACGGCATTGCCTTTCAGCACCTCTATGACATCGACTGTGGTGATCACGAAATTGTCTGGGTGTCTGTCTCCACGCCCCCCCCCCCCCCCCCACACACACACACAAACACTGTCATTGGCGCTGTCTACAGGCCAGGCTCCTGTCTGGGCACTGACACCAAACTCTTCGAACACCTTGATGCAACTCTTGACAGAGTTAGGCAGCATGGATCGAAGATTATCCTCGCTGGCGACTTCAATGTGCATCGCGGCTTGTGGTTAGGAAGCAACACAATTACTCCTGCAGGGGAATGTGCTGAGGATATGTGTGTTAGCCACGGCCTGGAACAACATGTTACGATGAAGACCCGAGGGGACAATATACTGGATCTGATTATGTCTGACTATCTTTCTGATGTAACAGTCCGTTGCAAACCTCCCCTTGGCGCCTCGGACCATGTAACTCTGATAGCTAAATTTCCCACACAAGTGTCGGAGGAACCTCTCACGAAACGAGTAGTCTGGCGCTACAACCTAGCGGACTGGCCTCGACTTTCTCATTTTTATCGTCAAGCTGACTGGACCACAGCCATCAGTCAATGTCCCAACAAATCATGTCACAATGTCACCGAGATCATTACACAAGGCATGAAGCAATTCATACCATCTCGTGAACTGGTAACCCGCCCGTCTGACCATCCTTGGTGGACACCGGAGTGTTCAGCCAAGGAACTGAACTCCCTAATATCTTCAAGCCATGCCACCACTCCTCCCTGTTGCACCATGTCAGTCTGCCAAAACTGAAATCACGTAAACAAGTGAAACAGCTCGTACTAGCTCATTCCATGCACCACTATTACGCCCCACCTCTTATACAAACAACCACTGTGCACTTCCCCATACACAGTACCAGAGCTTTGAGGCACCTCAGAGCTTTTTCTCTGCTCGTTGCTGGCACCACTCATTATTCCTCCTCTCCATTTCTTTGCTCAGTGAATCTGTTCAATAGTCTACCCCGAGATATAAGATCCATTCAGAACTCTTCCTCATTTTTAAGAAGCAACTCTCTGCTCTCATCGAATCTAGCATATGCTCTTGCTCTAATCTCCAGTGCAGCCCCAACTAAGTTAGTAGGTCGAATGTGCCGATAGCTCCATCCCACTCTGTACACTCCCTAGCGATCAAATCTTGAACTACAAGTATCAGTATCAGTATCATCATATTTTCAACTCATGTTATCTCATAGCCTCATATAATCACCATTATTTTATTGCATCTCTCTTATTGGCCAACGGCCACCGTGAGACGAAAAAAGAAAAAGAAAAAAAACCCTGGGTCACGCCTGGCCTTAAAGGCACTGTTCTGCAATGTTTCTCCAGCTATCTGCCCAGCCGACCACAGCAAGTGAAACGCGTCCGTCAACCACCTGGAACCGCATACACGGCCAGTCACGCGGTGTCGCTCAGGACTCGGTCCTGGGACATGCACTGCTGACGGTGTACGCCAGGCACCTACCAGCCTGTATGCCTACAGTCATTCCTCTGCCCCGTGCCAGATCGTATTTCGGCTATCACTCTATATGTCTTATCTTGGAGTTGACCGCTGGACCTCCCTCCCTGCGGCAATTCGCACCACACCCCTACCTACTGTATTCCACTCCGCTATCTTTATGTGGCTAGGGCACCCTGTAAGAAGACCATAGATCTGTGTGGACTGCACTAGTAAAATAATAAAACATCACGGTTCACCTGAGACTCGGCTGGAGGCCGTGTTTTCAGCATCCGCCGTGGGAACGCCACCACCCTCTGTAGGTCAAGGCGCAGATACAGCTCCTAAGCGGTGGGAGGTGAGTAGATCAGACCCACCACAAAGTGGTCAAAGTGGTAGTATTATTATTGCCGGCAGGCCCTAGTAAAATATGAATACCAGATACAGACCAGCCCTGCCCCCCCCCCCCCCCCCCCCCCAACCTCAGCCGAGACACACGGGCAGGACCTGCTCAGCCCTTGCTCACCTTATCTCTTGACTGCTTGCAGAGTGCGCGGTAAAACTTGCGTCCCAGTTTGCCGGCGTTCCAAATGGAAAATGATGGCCATGTTGCCAAGACCCGCTGCTCTAGCTCAGCAAGGCTGATGGCAAATATCGTCTCCCTGAATAGCACAGGGTAAAGAAATGGGAACAGTGTCACCGTCACGCATCCTGTAAAACATGTAATTTTAGGTGCATTAAAAAACTGGGAGAGGGAGGAGTTATGAAGTCGAAAAGATTAATACATTCACATTATGTTGAACAGTCTCTGCTGGGATGACAGCTACACCATAGCTCAGTGGTTAGAGCACCGCTGGCCTCAAATGAAGGTCTCTGTTTCGAGTTAACCCTTTGCATGCTGAGCCCCTTTTCTCCAATCCACTGGCCGTCCAGCGCACTGACTCTCTTGGTGGAGTATGCACTCACAGCTCCGAACGAAATTTATTCTGATTTTACTCAACCCTGATGGATTTTCATCGTCCTGGGCTCGTTGGAAAGATCAGGACCAAGCGAATCCATCCTGGCAGCTCTCAGCTCCATAGACACATCAGGGCCACATCCAGGTCCTCTCCGAATTACTCCACCGTGCCTCGGAACGGCACAACAACTCAATTTCACATTCTTGTTCGGCTTCTTGCCCAAATTCAACAGATTTTCACAATTCAAACTGCGCTGCAAAGCTCAGATCCTAGCGCTTCATTTGATGTCCATCACGCATGCGCCGTGCCAAAAGGGAAATCCCTTGGCACGCTGTGCAACAAAAAGAAGTTATGAACAAAAAAATTCGCGTTCACTCTGGGCCGTGATTTCCATGTTCATCTTGTCGCCGCTCAATGAATTCTTATCCTATCGCGAAGAACTTTATACGCCCGGAAAGATGAGGTGAAGATCTTTCCAACGGTGTATTGATTGTCGCGATGCGTTTATGTTTGACGAAGTTACGAAAGTTTGTACACTGGTCTATGCACTGCGATACAGCGCGCGTTCACTCTGGGCCGTGATTTCCGTGTTCATCTTGTCGCCGCTCAATGAATTCTTATCCTATCGCGAAGAACTTTATACCCCCGGAAAGATGAGGTGAAGATCTTTCCAACGGTGTATTGATTGTCGCGATGCGTGCATGTTTGACGAAGTTACGAAAGTTTGTACACTGGTCTATGCACTGCGATACAGCGCGCGAAGTTTTTGCGAGTTAACTCGTACGTAGTGGATCAGGTCATGCATAAAGTGCGAGTTAACTCGTACTCAGCACGCAAAGGGTTAATGGTGGTGACAATAATTTTTTTCTTCAGACTTTTCCCGCTTGCATCTTTCCCCCAAAACGATCAAATCAATGAAATTTTAATACGATATAGTGGTCTTTGGCGATAAATTTATATAAAAGTGTACGGGAAAGTTGGTTGCTCCCCACACCGCAGCTTGCGGAGTTGGCGGAAAAGCGCAAGCTCTGGTGTGGGGAGCGGCCAACCTTCTTATAAGCTTAAAAGCAACACATTGTTGATTCTACCTGTTGATACTGAATGTGGCAGCATTCTCGTGATAGCGGTACATGAGCAGATCTTCATCGCATCTACCAACACCACCGCCATGGCGTAAGTGTGAGAAGAAAAATAGAAGGTCCTCTGGCGTACCCTACACACATGTAATGAGTACACACACAAAAAAAAGAAAAAAGAAGAAGAAAATAACTTGGTTTCTGTGTCCATAACGGATGTCACTGGCATGTCAGATCTAGGGTGTTGGTTGTAGCTCCTGTAGCAATTCAGACATGGACTCCTTCTCTCTCTCTCTCTCTCTCTCTCTCTCTCTCTCTCCCTCCCTCCCTCCCTCCCTCCCTCCCTCCCTCCCTCCCTCCCTCTCTCTCTCTCTCTCTCTCTCTCTCTCTCTCTCTCTTTCTCTCTCCTACATCCTACACACCCATGCACGTGGGTCATGCGCAATGCATCATGTAAACGTTCCAGTCAATCTGTGTTCAAACTTGACCCGGGTTGAACTCAAACTAAGTTGAAAACTCTCATGTAAACGCAGCCTCAGTCAGCCTTACCTTGCCCGACTCATCAAAAGGCCCTGCTCGTTCAAACACGGACCGATGGCAAAACCAGGTTGGCATGACAACAGTTGGACCATTCGATGTATAGACCTGAGAGTTGAGACAACACACAGGTACCACGCATGTACGCACGCACGCGCACGCGCGCCCATCAAACACACATGATAACATACACATGGCATCATACACATGGCATCATACACATGGCATCATACACATGGCATCATACACATGGCATCATACACATGGCATCATACACATGGCATGATACCAATAGTCCATAATCCCCCACAGTGTGCAACTTCACTGATCAGATCTGGGACGGCGAAATCCGTGTTGCACGTCATAGTGTGACATCATGAGTAGGGGAAGTGTGTTCGTGGTGGACCGCGTCGACGGAATGACGCAAGTTCGACCCAAGAATGACGTGCATCACGGATTACGCCGTCCCACAACCCCTTCCCTGTTGCGCACTCTGGGGGATTATGGACTCTTGATCACACAGACACACACATGGCATCATACACATCGTTAACACATGGCATCACACACATGACATCATACACATGACATCATCACAGAACACAGTGTACATGACTTTTAATGTACCTGGTGTTGAAGCTGATCATGTGACAGACTGCACGCCCATTGTGTGTAGCGATGTGTGGACATTGCAGGCAAGCGGTGAAAGCAACTGCCGATGATCTGCATCAGAAGACAGTAGGGAAGGTACAGTCAAGCCTCGAATGTTGCACAGACAGATGGACAGAAGGACAGACATACTCGTGCAGACAGGCGGATGGATGGAGAGACAGACGGACAGACAGGCGGACATACGGATGGACAGGGGAAAAGCCAGACCAGTGGACAGATGGATTAAAGGGGAAGTTAAGGCAAAAATTAAAATTTCACCAGTTGTAGTCTTCGGGGTGCTGAATCGAATGGTCGTGGTCCGAGGAAGCTGAGACGCTCCCTTCCTACTTGAATCCCAATCGAACTCGCGCACTTCCACCGAAACTGGGTGACTGCGCCCTACGAGATGGGGATTTGTATGCAAAATGTCACTAAAAGCGCCATTTCGTTCTTATAAAAGCACGGATGACCGCGATTGGCCCATATGTTGTAGTCTTTTGGACGCTGAGTCGACTGGTTTTGGTCCGAAAAGGCTGCGATGCAGCGTTCCGCCTTTATTCCCAATCGAACATGGTTGAACAAGCGGTCACGTGCTCCTGCGTACGCCAGTCACCTGGTCACCGTGCCTGCAGGGTACAACTTACTAGCCTGTTTGACCTTTTTTGGGTGCAGTCCTGTCACTCGAGTTGAACTCGAGTTGAACCTTGGTGTGAAAGTTGTCACCTGCTGGCGTGGTGACCAGGTGATTTGGGCACCCAGGAGCACGTGACCACTTGTTCAACCATGTTCGATTGGCAATAAAGGAGGAACGCTGCATCGCAGCCTTTTCGGACCAAAACCAGTCGACTCAGCGTCCAAAAGACTACAACATATGGGCCAATCGCGGTCATCCGTGCTTTTATAAGAACGAAATGGCGCTTTTAGTGACATTTTGCATACAAATCCCCATCTCGTAGGGCGCAGTCACCCAGTTTCGGTGGAAGTGCGCGAGTTCGATTGGGATTCAAGTAGGAAGGGAGCGTCTCAGCTTCCTCGGACCACGACCATTCGACTCAGCACCCCGAAGACTACAACTGGTGAAATTTTAATTTTTGCCTTAACTTCCCCTTTAACAGACGGATAAACAGATGGATGGACAGACGGATGGACAGACGGACGAACAGATGCATGGACAGACGAATGAACAGGCAGGCACACAGACAAACAAACATACACACCAGATCCCAATCTACAGTGGATCCCCAGCTTACATCGTTGCGATGCTCCTTCGCCATGGCTAGCTGCACTTCAAGTCTTCTCTCACTCATGACATCATCCTGCAGGGAAATGACATCATGCAATAACAACAACACAACTTGGGTGGGACTGGGTGAACTAACACTACGTCCCTGTGTCACTGGATCTGGGACATCCCCCACCCTTGACAGGTCTTGCCAGTCAGCAGACACAACACGATTCGGCCTACCCGGCAGACCAAAGCGAGGATTATCAATTCTAAACTAACAGCAATAATGTTAGCACTTACGCTATCCAGGAAGCAAAGGTATTCCCCACAGCTAGCACTTACGCTATCCAGAAAGCAAAGGTACTCCCCACAGCTAGCTTCGATAGCTCGATTCTTGGCAAAGCCGACTGGGGAAGACGAAACACGTACAAAAAAGATTGAAAAGACTCGAGAGCTTGGCAGCTCAGGGCCCTACGCTATACTTTTTTGCCTAGCGAGAGTCAACTTTCTCTTTGCATTCGAGGGTAATTCGAGGGTAATACGACACCGTCTGCCACCTTGATGACCACGGCAAGAAAAAGCATAAGGATGTTATAATTTTTTCATTTCTCCTATTTTTTCAAGACATAACCTAGGATTCGAACCCGCACTATCGCCATGCATGCATTCCCCCGATACACTTCGCATACATACTCATTCTCAAGTTGTCTCACGTTATGATCTTGCATTCGAAAGCCGTATTTGAATATTGTGGCCAGCTAGCTGTCTTTGATGGTACGGTTCGGGACAGGTACTGGATAGTGCCGCAATGTCCAATGCCTGTGTCCCGAGCTGGCAACAACTCTTGTCAACACCTACCAAAGCCCTGCCCAGCTATTTGTGGATGGCGAGACAGTGTAGTCTTGTAAGGGCACCACCCAAGGGGATCCGCTCGCCATGGCCATGTACGATATCGTCACAATCCCCCTCATTGACATTGAAGAATGCCGTAGCAGTGGGGCCACCCAGAGTTGGTACGCCGATGACGCTACAGCAGCGTTGTAGTAGTAGTGGCAATGCATGGTGACACTCAGTGAGCCCTTGATAGAAGTTACTGCTAATTCTTTGACCATTGTAATGACTGTTGCCGGTTCAAATCCCACAATTGCATGTGTTACCTTTTTGTGTCTTTCCCATTTATGCTAGTGATGTAATCATTACTCATCACTCTTTGTAGTAGATAGAGTAGTCACATGAGCTTCTCTGATTGGCTGTTGCTAGGTGCCAGTGCACCATACACATTTATTGTAGTAATATTTCACATAATATAACGAGACTTCGCAGCAGAGTCTTGGGCGTAGTCGAATCCTTGGTCTAATGCTAGTCACTCAATAATCTTTCCTCGTCTTGTCCAATATTAAGTATCCGTCTCCCAACTACTTGGTGCGTCTGGAAGTGTGTTAATCTGAGGGGCAAAGAATAACCTCGAACCATAAACCACCAGGGATTTGGCAACACCCTGGTATAAAGGCAGTGGTTTCTCCTCATTTCATCCTCTTTCTCTTCGGTCCTGATGGCGTCGTGAGCTGCTGCTGGCTACTGTTCAAGTACTGTAACTATGACCTTCTCTTCCCTCTTCTTCTATTCATCCATTGTTGTATGAAACTATGTATAACATCAAGAAAGAGTGTCTTGTTGTTGATGTGTGAGTGCTTTGTGGGCGCTAGAGTTTGAGCTGGTTACGATTCAGTAACAGCGTCAACACTGCTGCCACTTCGCCACTGGTGGGACATCCTATCGCAGCGCGGTGAGGCGTTTGGATACTTCCTCAACCCGGAGAAATCCGTACTACTAGTGAAGCCTGCACATCTGGAGCGTGCCACTGAATTGTTCGCTGACACACGTGTCCAAGTCCGCTCAGATGGGTACCGACATCTCGGTGCAGCACTCGGCACCCCGGAATTTGTAGCGGCTTATGTCACGGGCAAGGTGAACACATGGTGCAAGGAGGTTGACAAGCTGTCTACATTTGCCCACTCCCAGCCGCATGCAGTGTGTTCCACCTTTACGCACGGTCTACGGCATCGCTGGGCATTTGTTGCCAGGACTGTACCCAACACAGCTACCCTGCTGGAGCCCTTGGAGCAGGCTGTTGTACACCTGCTACTCCCAGCCCTCCTCGGTCGCCCCTCTCCAGGCTCTGCCGAACGGAAGATCCTGGCTCTACCATGTCGCTTGGGTGGCCTGGGACTAATCATCGTCTCTTCATTAGTAGAACAGTTCCATTCATCCTGCCACATCACCCAAACGCTGGCTGAGGGAATCCTCTCTGGCATTTCCTACCTGCCCGACGTCACGCAGCTTATGCTGCACAGGAAGTTCGAAGTCCGCAACTGACAGCGGAATAAGGAGTCAACCATCGCCAAGGATGTTGTCTCAGCCGCTTCACAGGAATTGCAACGTTGTGTGGAGCTTGCTTCGCTGAAGGGGGCCTCCAATTGGCTCACGTGCCGGCCACTGAAAGTCCACGGCTTTTTCCCTCAGCAAGGCTGGTTTTCGCGACGCCGTCCATGTTCGCTATGGCTGGATCCCCCCAATGCTGCCGTCCACCTGCGTCTGTGGTCAGGCATTCAGCACCGCGCATGCCCTGTCGTGCCCTATTGGAGGGTACCCGTCACTCCGGCATAACGAGCTGCGAGACATCACCGCCTCACTGCTTTCACGCGTCGCGCATGACGTAAGTGTGGAGCCGTCTCTCCAGCCACTTTCCGGGGAACGGATGAGACATCGCACTGCAATCAGCGAGGATGGTGCCCGTCTAGATGTTGCTGCCAGCGGGGTGTGGGGCGGCCGTTTCGAGAGGACATTCTTTGATGCCCGGGTATTTAACCCTTTTGTCCGCTCGAACACCGCTCCCTCCCTCAGCAGCACATTCACAAAGCACGAGAAGGAGAAACGGCGACACTATGAAGAGCGTGTTCGAGAAGTGGAGAAGGCATCATTTATCCCCTTGGTGTTTTGTGCCTCCGGTGGTCAAGGCAAGGCTGCCTCTGCTTTCCTCACGCGCATTGCGTCAATGCTGGCCGAAAAGCGGAAGGAACCGTTCTCCATGGTGATGGCTCACCTCCGATGCCGCCTAGGGTTTGCCCTCATCAGATCGGCAATTGTAAGCTTAAGAGGTCATCGATCCAGGCGAGCACCTTTGGATAGATCGGCAATTGCAACTCCGATGCCTCCTAGGGTTTGCCCTCATCAGATCGGCAATTGAAAAAATACCAAAGAACTACAAGTTACGCTATAATGTCCACTAACACCACCAGTTACTCCAACAGCCTTCCAACTTGGAAGGTTCCGCCAACGTCCTTCACAGCTGAGACTTTCAGCTCCTGCTTATCTTGGTTGCGTTCACCTTCCCCTCCTTATGTTATTTCTATAACTTAGAACCTTCCAAGTTGGAAGGCTGTTGGAGTGCGCATCCAAGATGTGCTAGAGCTGTTAGCCAGTTAGTTGTAGAACGTCAGTATCGTCAGTCAGTGTCGTGCAATGTTATCTCATGAGCTGATTGTTTAGTAACTGGTGGTGTTAGTGGACATTATAGCATAACTGGTAGTTTCTTGGTCCTTTTTCTTTCTTATAGGTTTTCTTATTATTCAACTTATTATCCGGTGCACATTAAGCGCTACGTGGTTTATAATTTCCCCTTTTCTTGATTTTATATTCAGCGTTTTTGGGTGTTATCATTTTATTTTCTTATTTTTGCACCAAGTTATTATTTTTGCACCAAGTTATTATTTTTTGGCTACATTGTTCTGCATTCTTTTAGAAACTTGACTGGTGCCACGCAAAAAAATGCCGATGCTATATGCTGTCCTCGATGGTATGGTACGGGACAGGCACGGGATAGCACCAGGCATGCCGATGGCACAAACAAATAAATAAACACGGAATTAAGGGCGCGTTCGAATTGTCTTCATCACCTGTTCAAACAAATTTTATAAAGAGATTAGTTGAAGTGTCCCATTAGAACGGTTTCTATCATTTTTAGAGTTTTTCAGTGGAATTGTCATGGCGATGATGACGTCCGATCACATCGACCATCTCCACGTACTACGTGACGTAGCTATTCCAAACTCTTCGAAACTAATCCACCTCTCCCATCGGGTGAGGTTGTGGAGTTTTGAGGAGTTTTGAGGAGCTTCGTTTTTCATCTACTCGTACAGGTCCTCCCTCACTTGTAGATAATCTCTGGGCCATCGAAAAAGTTATCTTATAACGAGACTTGTCTTGTAACAAGAAAAAAAAGGAAAAAAGGAAATTATCGTGTCCGTTCCCGAAGGGAACTCACGACGGCCGCTAACACCCGGTAACTTGTAACAGGACTTGCACCTAAAGGTGAATTAGGCACTAATTCGTACTTACTTGGGCTACCCTCAATGCAACATAAATTATCGACGCTTCAACTCGTTATAAGATAATTGAAAACTCCAACATAGCTCTTCCTTGGATGCAAACGATTGTCCATATCTACGAATACATCGTCCATGTCTACGAATACATTGATATAATACGTTGCGTCTTTCTGCTTTAGCCTACGTGTTTTGGCCTTGGTCCTGCATGGTCAGTATTATCTTATACTGAGGGTTCGGCACTGAAGGGACCTGGGCAAAGGGTCGTTATAATGAATTTGATGTACTAACAAATTATGATGTAACCGGACCTGTACACAGTTGTATAGACCACGTTTCGCCAGGGGATTTCAGATTTCTATTTACTAACTGGGTTTATGTAGTACTGTAAATATACAAATTTTCGGCAGCTATTTAATTTCGGCTATATTCGGCACCGACCCAAAACGCCTAAATTAAAACGCCGATGAAAGTTTTCACAGCATCTGTCGCACTATACCATGCCCTCTACCCCACGCCGAAAATAAATCGCCGCCGAAATGTCAAAAATCGTGAAGTGCCGAAATTTTGCAGCGCCGAAATTTTGTATATTCACAGTAACCGGACTTGTCATAATGAGGGAGGACCTGTACTACAGTCTATGCACAGTTGAGTCACTGCGTGTATACATTGGTATACTGTGCTTGGTGAAATCCTAGCCTGGTCGTTCTCCAGCGCCCGACAGTGCTGTAGTCGGAGATCAACGCACAAGGAACTTGTACACAGCAGCTGCACTGAACTGCATTGAAGTCCATTGCACTAAACTGCACTAAAGTCCACTGAAGGCTATTGAATTGCACTGAAGTTGGCTGAACTGCACCGAAGTCAATTGAACCGCAATGAACTTCAACGAACTGCATTGAACTGCATTGAACTTCACCAAACTGCACTGAAGTTCACCAAACTGCACTGAAGTTCACTGAAGTCAATTGAATTACACTAAAGTCCATTGAACTGCACTGAATTGCACAGAACTCCACTAAATCCCACAAAACTCCACAGAACTCCACTAAATCCCACAGAACTCCACAGAACTCCACTAAATCCCACAGAACTCCGCGGAACTCCACAGAACTTCATTGAACTGCACTGAACTCCACTAAAACAATGCACTGGACTGCAATGAAGTCCAGCGAACTGCTAGTTCACTGAAGTACTGCTACAGTGGCCAGGTCGCACCACTCACCTCCACGTGGACCACGGCAGCAGCCATCACCACCACTCACCTCCACGTGGACCACGGCAGCAGCCATCACCACCACTCACCTCCACGTGGACCACGCCAGCAGCCATCATCACCATTCACCTCCAAGTGGACCACGGCAGCAGCCATCACCACCACTCACCTCCACGTGGACCACGTCAGCAGCCATCACCACCACTCACCTCCACGTGGACCACGCCAGCAGCCATCACCACCACTCACCTCCACGTGGACCACGGCAGCAGCCATCACCACCACTCACCTCCACGTCGACCACGGCAGCAGCCATCACCACCACTCACCTCCACGTGGACCACGGCAGCAGCCATCATCACCACTCACCTCCACGTGGACCACGGCAGCAGCCATCACCACCACTCACCTCCACGTGGACCACGCCAGCAGCCATCACCACCACTCACCTCCACGTGGACCACGCCAGCAGCCATCACCACCACTCACCTCCACGTGGACCACGCCAGCAGCCATCACCACCACTCACCTCCACGTGGACCACGGCAGCAGCCATCACCACCACTCACCTCCACGTGGACCACACCAGCAGCCATCACCACCACTCACCTCCACGTGGACCACACCAGCAGCCATCACCACCACTCACCTCCACGTGGACCACGGCAGCAGCCATCACCACCACTCACCTCCACGTGGACCACGGCAGCAGCCATCACCACCACTCACCTCCACGTGGACCACGGCAGCAGCCATCACCACCACTCACCTCCACGTGGACCACGGCAGCAGCCATCACCACCACTAACACAACCGCCGTCGGTCACTGTTAGCCGAATACCACGATGAAGGAACTTCTCGCGGTAAGATTCGATTATGCCCATGCTGTCATCCTGTAGGAGTGTTGAGAAAAACAAACAAAGAGAAGGGAATAAATAAACTCCTAAAATAAACACACACGCACACGTGCGCGCACGCACACACATACACACACACGCACATGCACACACACACACACACACACACACACACACACACACACACACACACACACACACACACACACACAAACACACACACACACACACACACACACACACAAACACACACACACACACACACACACACATACACCTTTAATACTCACCACACTGGAGTCATTAAATATACTCAGCTCCACTCCATGACGCAAGGACTGGCCGAGTACCGAGTCCAATGCTTCCGCTAGCCATACTGCAGCGTTGTACATGGGCATTACCACAGACTGCACACAAACATACATGGGCATTATGACAGACTGCACACAAACATACATGGGCATTATCACAGACTGCACACAAACAAGAAGATACAAAAGGGTGGATTGAAAGGACGAGAGTTAGTACAGCCATTGGTAAAACTTAACAAATTCACGGCTGGAGTCAGACTCTGTTAGACTGAGCTTGCAGAATCCCTTGGAAACACCAACACCAGCAGCACCCTCAAGGATCAAAGGCATGGATAAGCATGCAACATACCGTATAGTACTGTTGATCCGCCTACTCTCTAATTGCCGCACTCTGTCGGTTTTCTACCTGTGAAGCGACTTCGGCGTATACAACGAAATACGATGTTGAACCGACGCATGCACTGCTGTACACCATGCGTGCCAGTGCAGGATGAAAATGTGTACAATTCAGCACATCGAGTCAGATCCTCGACGTTGTTGTACATCGTACTGCACCTGACAGCCTTGATCTAATTCCCGCCCCCTGCCGAAAAACCAGCTGGGAAGCGACATGGCGTGGGGGGCGGACCAACGGTACTTTACGGTAATAGCAATAAGCTGGTTTGGCCGGACAGCCCGCTATGGATGAGGACGCGGGGGGGGGGGGGGGGGAGTGCACATGGGGACGCGGGGGGGGGGGGGGGGGGGGGGGGGAGCGCAGATGGGGACGTGGGGGGGGGGGGGCAATACCCTCGCGCCTAAAAAAAATTAAAAAACTGTAATACCGGCATGCACATGAGTGATTGACTGATTGACATAAATATAATTATATGTACATGTACAAACAAGGCTGGTCTAGGCAGCTTGAGGTAGAGTGCTCAATGCACACATGTGCAGAGCAATACTATACACACACACAACAGAGACGAAAGGCTGTGTAGCTGTAAGTTAAAGTTTCACGCATTTCAGCGATCACCAGACAGGGGCATTCGAATGCTGCTGTCTGGTGATCGCTACAGTGCGTGAAACTTTAACTTACAGCTACACAGCCTTTCGTCTCTGTTGTGTGTGTGTATGTACTTGTACATGGTGCAAGGCACTTGTACGGTACTCATGTACTCATGTACTCATGTACTCATGTAGTAATATCAATGCTGTCTGGATGGGGGGGGGGGGGGGGGGCAACCCGCCTCGTCAAATTCCTGCACACACCTCTGGAGTACTAGTAGAGAGCGTCGGAGTAACATCAAGCCTATCCAACGCAATTCGTGGGTTTTTTTTAGATCACAACACAGAAGGATGACAGCAATAATAAATTATTATTGTAGAAGCGTGATCAAGAGGACGACTCTTGATTACGATTCTAAGATTGTTGCCTCCTTGCCGTTTGTTTGAACAGTTGTTGTACGCAGAAGTATTTCAAAAAGAAATGTGCTGAACCTCAACATATGGAAACAGCTAGTTTACACATGGGCGTTGTCCAACATTATGACGAATGGTGAGAGAGGAGGGAGGGGGGGGGGGGGGGAGGGGGGTGACCCGACAATCTGCTTTATCAAGTGTTTTCATCGCAAGAACCCTGCAATAGCAGATGCTACGTCGTTGAAATCTCAAAGATGCTAGACCAAGACTTTATAAAGGAACTCATTCCGTACTGTAGACATTGTGGAATTACGTCATCACTTGAGAAGTGTTGTGTGGAACTACAGCAGAACGCTGATTATCCAGACGTCAACTATCCGGATGATCGATTCTCCGGATCGCCTGGTCGGACCGGACAAAAACTAGATCAGGAGGTGTTTCGAGGTTTTTGCTGATTTTCGCCACTTGGAGCACCATCCAAGCGATGCACAAGATGTATTACATACGGGAATATGCATGTTATAGGTAGATGTGTGACATGCTCCCTTATCCGAACAGTCTTCACATCCGAACCCCCCCCCCCCCCCCCCCCCCCCTGGAGACAGCCCTGCGGAAGATAATGTACTATTCAGCCACGAAGAAGATTGCCTGATGAGTCCAGCGGGGACGAAACGTACGCCGCAATCCAGCTATGTCGTTGCTGTGTCATCTGCTATGTGCCATGCGCTACCCGATGTACCAGCCTGCTACATGTCGGATACCACCAGCCATGCATCGAATAGGCGCCAGGCGCGAACTGGTGGTGGTGGTGGTGAGAAGGAGAGCTCTGTGCTAGAATAACTTTGCAGTCTAGAGAGCATGTGAGGGCAGGCATGTATTTACTGCCATATTGCCAGGTGTGTTTTTACCACCATTTGAATCGACCGTTTTCTATGGAGTGATAAGAATTGTGAGTCTTTGTCACCACAAGTATGTACTGGTTTGACACTCAATACAAGCATATGTGCCACGCATATGCCGTGGTGCCTGACGAATATGAATTCTATGAAATTTTGAAAGAAAACTGGACGAAAATGGCTGGCCCAACGCTAAGAGAATGCTGCAGTTCTTACCACAGTAATAGGGTGTTGTTCTGCTTGGGCTACGGCCTGCTCCATACTCCTACCACCTCAGAAATCACTAACTGGCTCACAAGGATACTTCTACTGCTGTTGTCAGGTACTAGGTGCAGTGCTTGCAAAGTCAAAACAAGGTTTCAAACAGAAAAGTGATGTTCATTTGTTTTCATGATAATAAAAAAACATTGTTGTTCTCGACAAGATACGACTCAATGAGCTGGGACTGTGTGTTTGAACACTGCTGCTGGACAGGTATTCAGTGTCGGACTACTCTTTCGCTTCCACTTCCAGGATATTATTATTGTATTTCCAAACAGTAACTAGAAGAACAGACTACAAACCCCTGCCATTTTCTGTCACTTTCAATCAGTCGCTTGATCGCTACAAGCCAAGCGTCCAGCTACAGACGAGTTTGAAAAGCGTGGGTGTTGAAAGCACTTGAAAAGTTGGGGAATCCCCTACGTGACGAGTCACGACTGTGCGAGGGCGATCACCTGATTTTGTCCACTTCCTCGATGAGTCTGAATCTGTTCAAAAACATTTCGAACTCGAAGTTTCTGCGAGCCAGGATTTTTTTGTGCTTGACTGGTTTGCTTTCTGTTGATTCCTGGACGACTATCTTACTGCCCTCACTACTAGTATACTCTGATCTCAAGGATGGCTGCCCAAGTTCATGAGTTCGACGTGGCGATGACTTGCAGCGGCTGCTCCGGCGCCGTCACCCGAATCCTGAATCGCGTCCAGGAGGTTTCTGACGTCCAGTGTGACTTGGACACGAGGAAAGTCTTCGTCACGTCCACGCTGGATGCAGACACACTGCTGGCGCACATCAAGAAAGCCGGCAAGGAGACTAGCTACGTTGGAATCAAGCAGTGAGTGAAATGGCGGACCGAGTGAGGCAGCAGTAGTGGTGTATTTGCGGCATGCCAATCAGCCACCCACTGCATGCACCACTGTTCCTCTCTGACAATAACATCCTTTTCTAGGTTCCAGTCAGTAATAAATTTCGGGTAGTTTTTATTCCTATACTTCGTGCATTCAATCCGGTACGATACCAAACTACTACGAGTAGTACTCATGGCACCACATCAAAAACAATTTCTTCGAATTTCTTTACCTTCTTATTAGGTCGTCTGGCTTATCGCCAGCTTTGTTCTCATAAAGTCTTTGCTACTCCCATGCACTGTACGTTGCTTATACTGTACAGCTCCATGGTAGAATCCTAGAAACGTGTTACTGCTTTTTTTATTCTTAGTTGAGCCCGGCCTGTTTTTAGGAGATGGGCATAGCACTTGAAAGCTTGTGAACCGATAGTTCGTATGAAATGGCAAACTCTGCGTGTGTCATTGTGGTGGAAGGGGAATGTGCGTCTTCGCGTCTATATCCTGTGTGTTCTTGGTGAGTACGCGACTACGCACACATGATAGTACAGTACAGTGGTCCCTTTATACTATATATAATACTGTGTACTGCACTACTACTGCTATCCTGCTGAATTGCCGGATCTGATGTACTGCTGGATTGTGCACGAGGAGGCCAGAGGTTACTGGAAATTATGCTGGTTTATAAAGTGCTGGATTAAAAAGGTACGACTGGTAGTTTATATTAACATTGTGCGGATAGTGATGGCACACGCGTCTGTATCGCGTCCCATGTCTATGATAGACAGACCTCAGGTGCTGCGCTGGATGCTCTTGGTGTTATAGACCCTGAGTGTTATAGATCCTGGGTGTTACGCACACATGATAGTACAGATCCTGGGTGTTATAGATCCGCGGTGCCATGGACCCTGGGTACTATGGCTGGGTGTTATGGACCCTGGATGTTATAGACCCTGGGTGATAAAGACCCTGGATGTTATAGACCCTGGGTGATAAAGACCCTGGATGTTATAGACCCTGGGTGATAAAGACCCTGGATGTTATAGACCCTTGGCTGCAGGCTAGGCAGCATGCACTGCACCATTCATAGCATGCAGTAAAACCTCTCAAGGCGACCACCTGTCCTAGAAGACCACTGAAACCAGGACCGAGGGGTACTATTTTCAGTCAAATGGCCATGGATAAGGAGACCACCTGGCAAGTTTAACAGAAACCAGGTTTTGAAGGTGCTATGAGCGGTCGTCTTTGACAGGTATTTACACCCGTCACTGTAAACCAACTTTTAAACAGCTAAGTGCAGAACAGAACCAGTAAAATCACAATGGAAAAACTCGATTGGCGATTCCGGATCTCGTACCCATTCTGGAATTTGGCCTACAGAGTGGTTTCACAATATACCATGACCAAACGGTACAGCCATGTTGGTTCCAACTCCACTCCACCCTTGCATCTATGGGTCGCATGATGTCGGCCATGTTGGTTCCACACTGCCCCTATACCCCTATGCCATGATCACTTTCTACTCAAATTTTAGACACATGACACAGATGTGAACACCACTCTAGCAGACTGACTCTATCTCAACAGAATCCCCTGGCCCCAGAAATACTCTGCAGGGTATAATTCAGATCAACATACTGCCCCGTTCCTTTCCGAAATACGGCTGAATGCCAGAACAACACCAGAATAGCGCACACATTTGGTTGCAGCAAGAGCCAGCAATAAATTAAAATTAGGGATCTACTTGGGTTCATTTGTTGGTGGCTGTGACAGTAGCGGCGTGACACAAAACATGGTCAACGGCGTGACTCTGTGATGCAACCACGGCAACACAGTCAGGTCTAAAGTTAGCATGAGACAAAGAGCGTGAGTGGCCAGTTCGCTGCACGAGGGCAAGTTTGTGTTTGCAGGCGCACAGGTTCACAGTCAGAGCCGTGGCAATGCGGGAGCGTACCACTGGGATGGCACTGCACGTCAGCCGTGCTCCCATTCCGACGTACCCTATCCCACGTCTCAAAATCCGTATTCCATGATACGCGTACATGTTGAATGCACAACGAGATCACTGTGTTGTGCGGTACGGCCATTACTGTGCGTGAACTTACTCCAAAGCAGAGTGGTTCACGGGAGAAACAGACCGATGTGCTTTGGAGCCGGGTAAACAACACCAGAGCTAGTATGCCGGACCCGTAAACACAGAGCTTGCCCCGTATATACTATAATATACCTCAGGAGAAGACGTGCAGTCGTGTGCCAGCTCATAGCCCAGTACAGCTGTGTGTGTGTGCCGGATTCCCGCAGTCAACCTTGCCAGCGCAGCAACACCGGCACACAGGGTCTACCCATGTGCTCATGGCTGTCGCTCGATCATAGCTCCACTCCATTGCTGCCGTGCGGCCTTCGACATCAGACGACAACGGCGCGCCCTGTATGGACTCGCAGCGCCGGAAAGCGCCGTGTCGACTACCGAATTGCACACCATGTAAACACTGCGTCAACGCGTCTCCGCACTCTGCTGCTTCTGCTTGGCGAGGAATTTCTCTCTCAGCACGTCGTGCTGCCGCTGCTCCCAGGCCAGGTCGGCGTTGACGCGCTGCCAGGATGCCCAGCAGTGCCAGCCGCCCAGCGACACACCTATCAGCGTGCACACAGTACGGCCGGCATAACGCTGCACCACCGGCGTCGCAAAGTACCCCGGATTGCCCTTGTAGCGGATGTCGTGCGTCGGCTGGGACACCGCCGAGCCGCCCAGAAACCCGGCCAGCGGGCCGACTACGAGCGACGTGAACAGGAGATTCCTCGCAACCACGGCGTCGCTCGACGCCTTCCTCTGCCGCCAGGCGCGGCGATTCCAACGCGTCGTGTACATTGCCGTGGCAACGCTGATCGCCACGGCACCCGCCACGCGTCCCTTGGCGCGCAGCAAGCTCGACTCGAACATCGTGGAGCAGACGTAGCTGCCGAGAAGACAGTTGGCGCCGGCGCCGATCCACGCCGGCCAGAAGTGATTGCCGAGGTCGTACCACGCCGTGTCCGGGTATGGTGAATCGATACGCTTACGGTAGCCGGACCATCGCTGTTGCTGCTGTAGCCTGGGGGTGTGATTCGTCTCTGCATCCGTTCGCGGAGGGGGCACTGGATCCGCTGCACCAGCAGCAACAGCATTCTTTGACGTCTCCACTAGTGACGATTCGTCTTCGCTAGCAGCTATTTCAGCTATCTGCGACGAAGTACTAGTGAACTGTGGCGGTACGTTTGGGTTGTGAACCTGCTGGGCAGTTCCAGTCTCGACTGCATCCGTGGCAGAGACGGGCACGCTCTCATTGTTACCCATCGTGTACCTTCGCGTTGCACCGTCCTATCAACACTATTTTCCGACGAGTTGTGTTGAAAATGTGAAACCGTAAATTTGATCACAGCGAGCGCCAGTACGAGCCAGAAACGTCGTTCGAGTAGGCAGCTCCACTGAGAACTGGCAAGAGAGGGAACCTACAAACCAGCCATTGTGGCTGTAATGATGGCAGGCTGAGTGAGACCATCGAGTGGTGAACTACATCACTCATCAGGACAATCAGTTTGACTTTAATTTTTTTCAATTTTTGCACACCAAGAAAGTAGAAATGTCGGAGCAAATTTTATTACAAAAATCATGACACTCTTTTACTACCGGTAGTTAAAGGGGAAGTATACCCTAAAATCAAATTTTCACCAGTTGTAGTCTTCGGGGTGCTGAGTCGAATGGTCTTGGTCCGAGGAAGCTGAGACGCTCCCTTCCTACTTGAATCCCAATCGAACTCGCGCACTTCCACCGAAACTGGGTGACTGCGCCCTACTAGATGGGGATTTGTATGCAAAATGTCACTAAAAGCGCCATTTCGTTCTTATAAAAGCACGGATGACCGCGATTGGCCCATATGTTGTAGTCTTTTGGACGCTGAGTCAACTGGTTTTGGTCCGAAAAGGCTGCGATGCAGCGTTCCTCCTTTATTCCCAATCGAACATGGTTGAACAAGCGGTCACGTGCTCCTGCGTACACCAGTCAGCTGGTCACCGTGCCTGCAGGGTACAACTTACTAGCCTGTTTGACCTTTTTTGGGTGCAGTCCTGTCACTCGAGTTGAACTCGAGTTGAACCTTGGTGTGAAAGTTGTCGCCTGCTGGCGCGGTGACCAGGTGATTTGGGCACCCAGGAGCACGTGACCGCTTGTTCAACCATGTTCGATTGGGAATATAGGAGGAACGCTGCATCGCAGCCTTTTCGGACCAAAACCAGTCGACTCAGCGTCCAAAAGACTACAACATATGGGCCAATCGCGGTCATCCGTGCTTTTATAAGAACGAAATGGCGCTTTTAGTGACATTTTGCATACAAATCCCCATCTAGTAGGGCGCAGTCACCCAGTTTCGGTGGAAGTGCGCGAGTTCGATTGGGATTCAAGTAGGAAGGGAGCGTCGCAGCTTCCTCGGACCAAGA